CCTACAGGCTACTCCTATGGAGGCACTTTCACCGTTAGGACCCCCTCTTCCAGCTATGTCTAGGTTTGTGTCAAGTTGACAAAGCCAACCAGTACCCAGCCCTCCCAGTCTTTAGATGTTGCTCGTCTGCAAACAGCTTGGGAGAGTTTTTAGGCCTCAGTTCTCAGGCAAGAGGTAGCAGCCTCTGGAAAGGGTGTAATGAATAGCTTCCCACCAGGACTGGTCATGTTCTGTTTTGGACAAGCTGATCTCAAAATATAGTCTTCTCTCTCACACTTGGTGGACACAGTGTCACGAGGCTTATCCTGGTGACTTGGGGCCTGTTAAAGATTCCTTGGAGTCTGGAAAGATACCAGCCAGGGACGCTTGGAGTCTTGATGCACAAGTCCAAGGAAGCATCAGGCCTGGCAGAGAGTGGGGTAAAGTTTTTATTAGTCCATGGGATGTGACCTTTATGAATGGAGCTATCAAAAATGCGAACAGAGTTTAGAAAGACACAGGAAAAGCTTGCAACAGTGGTAGGTTGATTTTGTTTTTTTATCATTATGTTTTAAACTATTCTGCTTCCCTCCCATCTCCTTACTTACCCCTCCCACTTGTCAAATGTTTGCGAAGGTGTTGGATTTTCTGAGAGCCAAGCCCTTCTGCAGGCATGTCCTCTCTCAGAGGCTTGGGGTAAACATGTCGTGACTTCTGGGAAGCGTGTGTGCCCTTGAAAGTGTGACTTTTGAGACGGTTAAAGCCAACTTCAAAGACTGGTGTATTATGGTCCTCTGTCACCTCTGCTGTGTCCAGTGGGTTGTCAGAACACATTATGGTATTGCCGACTTCCTCGTGGTTTACAGAAAGATGCTCTGCCATGCAGTTTTGTTTATCACAACTATGACATAGACAGAGCTTCACAGAGGCAAAGATGGGAGGGCAGAGAAGAGCAGGGATGTGTCCCAAGACAGAGATAATGAAACAGAGCCTGTCTGCTGCCACTAAGACAAGCATGCTCTTCCCAATGGACACAGCCAGCCTTTGCCCAGAGCAAAAGAAATCCGAGGAGACTCTGAAGCATTTGGCAAATGGCTATGTCACCAGGTTTCTCTCTTGGTCTCCATTCTGCCTGAAAGCTCTGTGCCCAACTCAAGTGATTACCCTCTCCAGTGACCCAGACCTCTGCTTCTGGGTTCTCGGAGGGATTTCACTTTCTGCTATAACCCTGTCCATTTTGAGGGTGACCCGAGGCACCACCCTACTAAGTTCCAACTTTTGACATAACTACTGTGATCTACAGAGTTCACCCTTGAGAACCTTCCATCTGTTTGTCCGTTCTTCTCTCCATCCATCCATCCATCCATCCATCCACCCCCTCCCCAGGACCACAAAGTCATAAAGATGGGTAGAAACTTGTATCCTGCCAGGCTGCCCAAAAGTGAAGGAGATGCCCCCATCATTGACAGGAACAGGCCAAGCCTGAGTTCTGTTCATGCTTTCCCGTGGTAGCCTACATGACGTAGGAAGAACAGCAGCAGTAGGATCAATCAGGTGTTGTGTTGGGGACACCAACCCCCACTGTTGGCTGTTTCTATGGCTTCCTGGCAATTGCTTCTCTTCACTGTAGGTCAAGCCTGGACCCACCAAGCTGTGTGTAGAGTCTTGGACAAGTGGCTTTTTTTTTTATCCAGAACTTTCCTAGAGGCCCCACTGAACCAAAAGGAAGGCAAGAGCGCAGGAAAGACGGCCTCAGCCCGCCTCCTGGGCTTCAGGAAGGTGTTTCTTGTGTCCTGCGTATCTGCAGTGGAGCCATATAATAGGGGCCCAAACCTCAGCCGTGGTCCTTGGGTTGTGCCTGCTGCATGTGAGCTGGAAGGTCTGAGTCCTTTTCCTCCTTCAGGGAACAACTGGTGAACACACTGTCACCTTAATTTTAGTTCTTATGAGAGTTACATGGAGACCTCTTAGTGCTTGGTTTTCTGGCGAGATCGGCAGGGGCTGGGGTGGGGGAATTAGGTAATATCTGACCGTCAGGAAGCAGTGTGGAATGGAGAACTTGAAGCTTTCAGGTCTGAATGAGGGCTGCTGACTCTGCTTTTTCTCTCCAGCTGCTCCAGAAAGAACTTTAACAAGCTCACAACTTCCAGGTGGGGTCTGGAGCTGCTTCCTGCCCTTCTGACTCCTATCCATTTTAGCCCAGCCCTGGAGAAAACAATCCCTAATTGGTGACTCAAACATGGCCTCTTGTGTCCAGACTACCCGGGTTTAAGTCTTGCCTCTGATAAGTTCTGGGACCTTGGGAAAGTGACCTTGTCTGGCTTTTGTGTTCTCATCCATGTCTAAGAATGATTCCTAGATCTCAACTCAGTGATGGAGTGTTGACTGTCTGAGCCCACCGTCACTCCTTATTTCAGAATAACATGAATGGGATTCTGTGGAGATGGTTTTACTTCGGGTAGCAGGCAGGTCTCAAAGAAAGGGCCCATCTCTGAGATACTTCATGAAGCTCCTTTATGGGAGATGGTGCAAGATATGGAAGATGTACATTCCAGACAGCAGTAGAGCCGGCCTTAATCTGTTCTTAGTTTCTGAGTATCCATGGCTCCGTATCTGGGTGCCTTTGGAATACCCCACCCACCCCGTGTGGTAGAATGGCTCTGAGCATATCCTCGGGGTGACGTGTGACGCCGATGGGAGGTGGCTAGCCACCTGCAAGTCTTGTATCTACCTCCTCAGTGTTCAATACCCGAATCAACTATTCTGTTCCCCAGGCAAGCCCATGTCTGTGATCTCTGTGAGTAGTTTCAGCAGTCAACAGGACTCCAATCTCAGTGCTGGAGTTCAAGGTTCTGGGATTGGTTTGCTTGTTGAAGAGGTAGAATAGGGACCTTGGGTCTTGTGCATGCTAAGCAAGTTCTCCATTGTAGAGCCATGCCCCCAAGCCCCTCCAAGGTGGGTTCTAGGCAAGCTCTCTACCACTGAGCCACACCTTCCAGCCTTTCTCTGTGTTCTAGGCAGGTGCTCTACCACTGAGCCACACCCTGGCCCTAGTATTTGCTTGTTATTTTCTCCATATCAGGCTCTATGTCAAATACCTTATTTAATCTCAAATATAGTGCTATGTGGGGTTTCTTTCCATCATTTACCTTGTAAGGAGAACAGACTTTCATCTTCCCTTGGTTAAGTGTCCAGCAATCCAGCTGCAGGGGTATCTCTGCCACCCTTGGGCATGCGGCACTGTCTGTACACCGTGCTCATTGCCAACTGTGCTCTTCCACCTTGAGCATGTGCACCTAAAATGACATGGGCTTGCCAGCTAAGACTTGCTAGTTAAGGCACACAGGTTTCCAAGTGTTGCTTCCAATGTACCTGCTCAGCACACACAGTCACCCAAAGTTTTCCTGAAGCCCCTAACTCCCAACATCGCAAAACCAGGTGAAGGCATCCCACCATGCTCTTTCCCTAAGGGAAACTTTGTGCTGGGAAGTCTTGCCCCTGGTTCCCACAGCCTTGGTGGGGGGGAGTCTATTGTTTGACAAAGAAACAAGTCCTGGGTATCTGGATTCGCACAGGCTTCCCACCCGGATAGAAATGACCTGAGTCTTTTCTCCTTCCTTTCCTTTTCCTTTGCCTCATTCACCTCTGAGCGCTAGTGGCTCACTGTGAAGGGTCGTGGTGTAGAAACACAGGCATCTCTACTATTGGGCAATGTGCTCTCTACGCCTGTGCTCTCAAGGCATTACTTTAAAAAAAAATTGTGAGTAAGTAGAATATACAGGGAAAGGATGAGTGGGGGGCTGTGGATGAGGAGGAAAGAGAGGTGTCCATGTAGCAGTTTGGGGGACACTGAAATTGTTTAATGAACCTCAGTTTGCTCCTTGTCACAGTGTGTGGTCTCTTGTCCCTTCTGGCCATGTCATTCTGCATCTTTAGGGTTATCCTCTTGGTTCATTCTTGCTTTCTTTATTTTTTATGTTTTGAGACAGGGTCTTATTAGCTAGCCTTGAACTTGTTAGATAGAGCAGCCTGGACTCACAGTTACAGAGACTTCCCCATCTTTACCTCCCCAGGGCTGATATTAAAGATGCCTGGCTCATCTTAGCTCTCTTAAAAGCCTAGCCTGGCAACTTGTACACCGTGGACCTCTTGATCATTTGGGGATGTTTACTTTGCCATCTGAGGGAGCCTCTTGTTCATTTTATTGTCCCCAGATTCTAGAGACTGAATGGCAGCCTAAATGAAAGACAGGCCTGATGAAAGGGGATGGAGAGCATATGTGCATGTGTTTATGCGTGTGCATCTGTGTATCAGCGTGTGGCGTGTTCGAGGGTGCACGTGTGCATGCTCATATGTGTGCATGTGTACATGCCTGTGTGTGTGTGTGTGTGTGTGTGTGTGTGTAGGTAGGTGAAAAGGGACTGAATCCTAACCAATCGCAGTTTTCTATTGATTTCTTTCCCTCCTTCACTGGATATATTTCTCCTTAAAGGAACTATAGTCCCTGATTTCGTGTTTGAGCTCACTGTGCCTCCTAGGGGAGAAACTCTCGCTTGTCTTTTCCATTACAGATTGAGATGTGCTTGACTGACAGCTCTGGAAGAAGGCCATGCTTTCCCAGAAAACTCCTTTGCGTCCCCCTCCTCCATTGAGAAACCTCTGTCGATGGATCTGGCCTCCAGCCCAATAGTTCGAGCAGTTGCTTCTGTTAATGTTTATCTCTGCAGAATACTGTAGATGCGCGCAGCTGTATGCTTCGAAGCCCTGGGTTTGATCCCAGGGTTGAGCCCTAATATACAAGAAGCCTTGTGCTTGATGTTCAGCACTTTGTAAGCTGGGCATAGCGCATAGTAGCACATATACACTAAGGTAGAGGCAGGAGAATCAGAAGTTTAAGTTCATACATACATGCCCGCATACATACATACATACACAGTACATGCATGCATACATCCTTGCATACGTACATATATACATTCCCCACAGATGCTAAAATGACAATAACAATAAAACAGTGTCAGTGAAATTAGGGATCTTTTTCTTTTCACGGGGAAGACTCACAAAGACTGCAGTAGATGGTGGTCTGTGGTTCTTGCGCAATTGTCAAACACAGAGGTTGGGAAAATTGATGGGGAGACTGATGAGGACCTTCTGAAAATGCAAGTAGAGATGGTGGTAAAAATGTCCTCTAATGATTCAAAACGCAAATGTGATATCTGGCCAGGCATTGGGCTAGGATTTTTTTTGTACATCATCATCCCGATTTTTAGATACTTAGGTTGTTTTCAAGGTTTTTTTCCCCTCTGGCTGTAAGTAGTACATATATGAATATCTTTTCATATAATTGTGTGATTTACAGCATCCTGTTTAGAGTTGATTCTTTCAAGCACAATTACTGGGCATGGAATTAAAAAAAAAAAAAACCTTGAAATGCATTGCAGGCTTGCTTCAGTGTGATGTTACAGTCCCACTCGAAAGAGCACACCCATGCCTACTTCCTCCCAAAGACTTAGAGAAACCAGCCCTTTGTTGACAGCGAGCCGTCAGCCAGTTGTATGACTCAGCGTCTTGGTCATTTAAGTCAAAAACCCAGCTGCGTTTATTCTACAGCAGTGGTTCTCAACCTTCCTAATGCTCAACCCCTTTAGTACAGCTCCTCATGCTATGGTGACCCCCAACCATAAAATTATGTTTGTTGCATCTTTATAACTGCATTTTTGCTACGGTTATGAGTTGTAATGTTAGTATTTGTGTTTTCCGATGGTCTTAGGTGACCCCTGTGACAGGGTCAGTCAACTCTAAGGGAGTTGTGACCCCAAGGTTGAGAACCACTGCCCTAGAGACTTAGGACTAGGAAGAGCTGCCCTCTGATTGGATTCTTTTCAGCTGCAAGTTCAAGGTATCACAGAGAAAAGAGGAAGTGCCCTGCTCCAGGTTCATTCCTGCCTCCCCTCCGCTCTTCTCTCTGCTCCAGATGCCTGGCATGTCGCCCTTTCAGCTGGCTGTATCTGGCAGGCCCCAGATATGGGCTCCTCTCTAAGGAGATGCCCGGGAATCTAGATGATTCCCCTAACCTTCCATAACCCCTGTCCCCAAAGTAAATGGCTGCTTCGGTGTTCTCGGGCCCCTGCCAGCATCCTCTGCAGTGCACCCCGGGCTTGTTGTTACCTTTGAAAGGTTGGAGGATGTGCATTCAGACTCAAAGCTGTGTCTACAAAGAAGCTTGGGGCCTGTTGGCCTTGGGTTTCCCCCGGAAGAAACTTTCTCCCCGGCAAATCTAGTTTAAAAGCACGAAAGGGTCTGTACACATGCCAGGAAGCATGTACTGAGTGTCTTCTCTGAACCACATGGTCAGGAAGCATGCACTGAGTGTCTTCTCTGAACCACACACTGAACCCTGAAACAGACAGGCCATGTCTTGACCACATGATACTTACCCACCTTCTAGAAGGATGAAGATACACACTAAAGAGAGGCTTGTCTCCCTCTGCTGAAGCTAAGCTTGTGACCAAAAGTCATGCAGTTAAGGGGGTCATAGGGAACAATGGGGTTGAGGTATTAGGGTAGCACTGACAGGTGGAAACGAGAAGGGAGTTGGGGCATGAGGCGTGAGTATTTGGGGACAGCAGGTTCCAGATGGAAGCAACAGTAGCTCAAAGGCCACCAGAGTACAGGAGGATTTCCCTTCCTAGCAAGGAGACTAGAAGGAGAAGGAAGAGGAGTGGAGGCTTGGGACTGTGGGTAAAAGCCTAAAAAGCCATTATGAGAACTTGGGGTTCTATATTCTACAATACACTGACCAGAATGTTGATGGTAAGTAAGAGGTGGTTTGAAGAGGTTGGGTCTGGCTCTGCCTTAATAGTTGGCAGAAATGGCAGCAAAGGGGTGTTGGTTCTTGATAGCTTGTAGAGGCAAGGCAGTGGGAGTTGTGGAGTGTGCGAAGTGGCCCATTCAGGGCATGCTGTAGACTTCTCAGTACTCTGTGGGAGAGCTCTAGCTAGGAGTAGACATGGTGGCCTTCTCTGGCAGCCTCCCCTCCCCTAGGGAGGAGTAATGGCTTGTGTAATCGTCAGCTTGCTCCTTGGAATCTTGACTCCGGGTCTCCATCACAGTTTTCAACAACCCCTCCCTCCCCTCCCTCTCAGCCATTCTGGAGAGAAGCTCACCATTTCAAATGGGCGCATGCCTTTCTTACCAAGTTCTTTCTTTCTTTTTTTTTTTATATTTTTCATGGTTTATTTAACTTTATTTTATGTACATTAGTGTGAAGGTGTCAGATGTCCTGGAACTGGATTTTCAGACAGTTGTGAGCTGCCATTTGGGTGCTGGGAATTGAACCCGGGTCCTCTGGAAGAGCAGTCAGTGCTCTTAACCACTGAGCCATCTCTCCAGCCCCACCAAGTTCTTTATGAGCAGTTGTGGTGGATGTCCGACATGGTAGTCAGGGCTTGTTTGTCCTCCGTGTCAAACCTTCTGTTGGACAGGAACTTAGAAAAGTCACAAAGCCAGGAACCACCTGCAGGGGTGCCCATATCGAAGAGTCCAGCCAGGAAACACAAAATTCTTTCATGGCAACAGAAAAGTAACTAAGACAGGAACATTTCCCAGGGTGACGGCAGCCCTTACTAGAGCCCTGCTCAGGAGTCTGGATTCCCATTGCTGTTCTGTTAGTTGGCCAGGTGTGTGGTTGGGAACATGGATCCCTTTGGGGACTTTGTCTTCAACTTGAACATGAGTCCCAGCCAGCTAAATTTCTAAGACGCTGCCAGCTTTAACATCTTACAATTCTAAGTGACGAGTATAAATAAGAAATAAGGAACAGAGGTGGCAGATGGAACCGACACACTCCCGTGGGAGGTTCCTGACAGGGGTGGCCCAGGTTCGAATTCCGAGCAGCTCCTCGGTACCCATTAATCCTCCACATTTTTCCCTCCCCTTGGGATATTAATTCTGTACAATTGAGTGTATTCTGTTGAAAAGATGAGCAAACCCACGGCTGGGAAAAGAAAGTGAACCTCCGTGAAAGGAGACTCGTTCCTGGTAGCTATATGCTCTGCATCCGATCCTGGTCTTGCCAGTCGAGGTTGCCGGTTCACCTTTGAGGGTAATGATGCATGAAAATGGCACAATTAGCCCCCACCCTCCCCCCAGCAGGTCTGCTCCCATCAGCACCAGCCTTTAAGATTGCATTTTTGGTTCACACCTCGTTCTATCTGTTGGTCTTGTTTGTCCCTAGCAGGTGCTTGGCTGTATAAAGTTGAAGTAGGAAAATGGCTAACTTCCAAAATGAGAGCCATAGTCCAGCCTGGGCGGAGTTCGGTCTGGTAAACCAGATCGATACCTTTCATCTTACCTGGACGCTAACACCTTCCTCTCAGGTCTAGCTGGAGGAGAGACAGGGGAATTGAGGGCTCTTTCTCCTCTCGCTTTGCTTTGGTTTCCTGCTACGACTGATAAATATTGCTGTGAAATCCTCCCGCGTGTTAAAGGGACAGTGTTTTCCAGAATGGATTCTTACCTAAGGACGTGTCTTTGGGGTGTGTGTCCACATGTCTCTACACTGAGGCGTGTTATTCTCTTTTAGCTTAATCTTTTCCCAGCAGGCTCTGAATGCAAATGTCTATTATTGTCTAAACAATGACGTGACCACTGACAGGGCTATTCAGGCTGCGGCTGAAAGGGCTGTGTTCCGGCAATTCTTTTCCTGCTGTAATTATGAGAAGTGTCCCTGGTTTTGTTCCTGTTTGGAGCCTGTCATTGTCCCCGGTGTTTGTGTGACAGGTGTGTGAAGCAGTGAGTGCCCCGCCACCTTCACTTCTGCTGGCTGCATCCACGGCACCATCCCTGTCGGCGGACAACACTAGTACTTGTGTCTTGAGCCGAAGTCTCTGTTTGTCCTCGGAGCCAAGTTCAATCAATTGGACCATTGAACAGCTGTCACGTTCTTTAGGAACAGTTTTTGCTTGGCTCAGCCACCAGAAGTGGGTAACAAATCTCCAAGCATAGAGTGCTAGGGAGCTCTCCAGTACTGTAGGCCGCTCACTCCCCCCCCCCCAAATCTAGACTTTGAATTATTTACAGTCAGCTGCAGTTCAAAAATATTGCATGGAAAATTCTAGGAGTAAACCGTGTCTTAAATTGTGTGCCATTCTGAGCCATGTGATGGACTCTCACACCGTCTGACTCTGTACCGCTCTGGGTGTGACATGTCCCTTTGCCCCGTCTAGCCATCTCATATGATAATTTACAAATTAAGCTTTGTCATGGATGCAATATATGTGTGTAGGGAAAAGGAGGGCGTGTGTAGGTTTAGTGCTATCTTAGTCTCAGGCACCCACTGGGAAGGCTGAGCTGGCCCCTGCCTCAGATAAGGGGTTTGGGGGATGAAAGCCAGAGCAAATAGAGAAAGGTCAAGTTTCTCATAGCGAAGCATGTTCTATAGCCGTGTGTGTGCTCAAGTCATGGAAAAGATGGGAGGGGGAAAGGACTGGCTTTAAGAGGACATGAGAAAACTGTATTTTATCTTATATGTTTTTCAAGACAAGGCTTCTCTATGTAGCCCTGGCGGTGCTGGAACTCACTCTGTAAACAATGTTGGCCTGGAACTCAGAAATCTGCCTGCCCCTGCCTCCCGAGTGCTGGGATTAAAGGTGTGAGCATGCCCCCCCACCCCCCGTTGTGTATGCCTACACATGCACATGCATGCACATACATGTCCTAGTCCCTAGAAATACTTTCATGCCACTTAGCTCGGCTGGGAAATGGACTGGCCTGCTCTGAAGTGGCAGCTCTGTGGTGGCAGATAAAAGCCTGCCTGGAGAGCGTCTGGGATGAGAAGCTCTTATCTCCTCTGAGAACAGAGGAGGTTGCTTCGGCAACTGCACGGCAGAGACAAAACACCAGCCCTGGTTTCTGTGTGAATTGCAGGGGCCTGGCCATTCTGTGTGCAGTTTGTGTTGCGCCCGTTCTAGCAGGTGTCTTTGTGCTGCATTGCATCCAGGGGGGCTGCTGCTCCTGCTACTCTGTGCCGCGGACAGAACCAGAGGGCGCTCCACAGATGAACCTGGTTTGCTTGGTCAAACCCCCCCAGGGGGTTGTGACACATCTACCAGGTTGTCCTTTGGCTTTCCTGTGTTGCTTTGCACACAGGCTTGTCTAGCATGGCAGCCAGGCTGTCTGATGGCCCCGGAGCTAGTAGCAGGTGCAGCCTTGAAGGGATGGGTCAATGCTTCCATAGGGGAGGGGTGTCTCTACCTCTGTTTTGGTAAGGAATGCCCTGTCTTTCTGCCTGTACCACCCTGGGCTTACCTTACTGGAGGAAAGTTAAGGTCTGAGCCGCACCCAGTAGGGGAGCTCTTTTGGTCCTGCTGGAGCCAAATAGCCCTAAGGGTCCTATCCCTTAGCAAGGGTTTTTATTGGCTTTTCTTAGATCAGGTCTCTTATCTTTTGATTACCCTTGAATGGGGAACATATACTTATTGGTTGTCATCATGAGTGCCAGCTCCGGCTGTGCTCAAGTGCTGAGTGGCAGGAGACAGAACTGCAGGCCAGAGACAGGGCAGTGGGTACCTTGGCCATGGTGCCTGTCCCCAGGCAGATGTTTAAGACAAACATCCTCTCTTCCTTTTTGCCTGCTCCCCAGAAAACCATGGAAGCTTGGACCACTGTCAGCAGATGCTCCACCAAATTCTGTACTGTACAAAATGAGGGGGGCTATCAGGCTTGAGGGGCATACATCTTAGATGCAGACATTTGAGGGGATGTGTTGGCAAAGCTCTGTCTAGTGGCAGAAATGGCCGTTCCACTGTCAGCCTGGGTTTATGTGACAGTCTGGGTGAGGGGTTTTCCCAGGGAGGGGTGTGCCTTTGGACTTTCTATGAAGACAGTGAGTGTCACTGAGGTCATTCAAGCATGAGCAGTGCTGAGCAAACACGACCGTGGTCATCATTGCTGTGACCCTGTCATAGTACTCAAAACACACTCTCTGTGAAGCAGACAGGACTCTCAATGGCTTCCCAGATCAGGGTCTGCAGATGGCCTTGCTCACAGAGCCACACACACTGTACAGCTAGTGCCCTGAGATCGCCATGTGGCCTCTGAAGTTGGCACTCCACCCGGGTCTCTCTCAGGTACCCTGCCGGTGCTAGCCATAGAAAGGCTTGGCCCAAGCCCCTTGGTGAGAAGAAGGGCATATTGAGCCGCCCTTCCACGTTACCTGGTTCCTGTTGTGGCCTCAGCTGATTCCTCTGTGAGGCCAGCAGTCCTGAAAGCAGGAGTCTCTCAGATAGTGACTGCAGCTGGATGAGAATGACCATGATGTGTCCATTCATCTTCACACAGAGGAGGCAGACCCAGCTGCCTCGGGCGAATCCTGTCAGGATTGAGTTGGCTGCTCTGCCTGGAGTCTCCTGCTTTTCACCATGCTTCTGTTGGTATGAGTTGTTCTGGGAAGCACTGACAGTGAACATGAGGGCTACATCCATGCTAGGCTGTTTGTAGGTTCATGGATTCTTCTAGAAAGAACTTACGGCGTCACCACGAAATTGTGTCAGGGTTCCTTGTGGTGCTAAGAGAGTTCCCACCATGACCTTGAGTCTTGCTTTGCTGTCACACCCAGTGGCCACGGGAAAGTTGGGAAGAGTGGGGCAGGGGATGCTTTGGTTCTCACGGCCAATGTTCGGAGTGGGTCTCTGCTCTGCCTTCTCTTTCCTCTTTTCCTTTTCTTCTGGTCAAGCCTACCCGGGTCTATCCCAGGAGCCTGGTGAAGTTGACCTGAGCTTGTAACTCGGCCTCCACTGCTTTCCTGCCAACCAACAGGGTGATGGATGCCCTTTCTTTCCAACTGCTGTTGTAAGGATTTCCTAAATATGAGAGGTACACTCTTTCCTGAAAAAGTCTGATAACCCAGTTGAGCGCAGAGGGTGAACCCGCTGCATTGTTAGAGCGAAGCGCTGCATTGTTGGAGTGCAGATTCCAACGCCGCTTGTGACGTTCGTCTGAAGTTCAGGCATCTCGCTAGAATGCCAAGGAAAATATTTTCAAACCCCTGGGGCTTGGGGGCTTTATTTCTTCTGTTACCAGCCTTTCTGGTGACCTCAGTTGAC